GTTCTTACTTTCATTTTTTGATGAAGCAAAGATGAGTTTACCACATCTTTTATAGATCAAGATTTAAATAGTTCTCTTGAAAATGCAGATGTTTCAATCAGCCTTTAAATAAATTTAACATTTACAAACTTGTAATTTATTGATCTTTTCTAAAAATGAACCTTAATGACACATTAACTATAAAATAATTCCAGAAAAGAAATGTAACTATTATAACTGAAGTTTAACCTGAAACTAATGTAGAACTATGTCAAAATAGACTATATGCAGATAAAAAGCACCAAGCTTGGTTGTATGGTTATGGCAATGCAGCAAGTCTTTTTTTTAAGGTATAGACCTCTAATAGTATTACCTCTGAATGTATTTTGCTAAAAGACACCATCATTGATTTTCAAGATTCAGGGTTAGACATGTAAGTTTATTTTGGCCTTTTATTCATGAAAACAAGCAACATACTTTTCATTTTCAACCAGGCAACAAAACAGATAATCATGGGTGCTCGTAAATAATTTTGTGTGATTTATTAAAACTTGGAACTTATGGTCTGGCTACTCTGGCATAATATCAATGGAACTGAACCAAATACAAAACTTTATTTTGTTTGAATTTGAAGGATTCCACACTTGTACCAATTCACTTCAAATTAAGGTTCTTGCCAAAAAAAATCTCAGTACATGTTCCAAAAATGAAAAAGTCTAGCATAACCTATGCATTACTATATATACTAGATCAGTGATAAGTTCACATACAAATAAATATGTAAACAAACAAGTCCATTTGCTAGTACAACTTTAAATACTTGATCTTTTGTAAGATATTTAATTACATGTACCCTTAATAACTTCCTGCTAATCTAAGCATGTTAATTTGTAACACATGTAATAGATTAAATTAATGGGTGACTAAGAGAATTATAAAGCACCATACAGTGATACTAATTTCTTACTTATTATATCACTTACATGTGTAGATAAGTTGTAAAACACAGATAATCATTAGGAAAATCACTATATACACATGTCATGTAATTGTGGATTAATGGTGTTGTCAGTTTGTTTTTGACTTGTGAGTTTGAATATCCCTTTGGTATCTTTCACCTCTTTTTTTTTAAATGCATATGCATGAATAAATGGAGATGTGGGTATTCATCAATGAGACAAAAACTCAATTCATGCAAATTGACACAAATAAAACACACAACATCAAGGAGTCAACATGTGTATATAATATGTATGTTCAGTTATAAATAAAAATTAATTTTGTTGATTGAATGTATAAAAAAAAATGCCTTTTGAGTGCATACAAACACATTCAACTATTTGTGATGATTGATTGACAAAACTTGCATTTTCAATAAAAATTAGGCATGTTTAATATTTCACAAACATTTGTTTAAATGGCAGCATTGTATTGTACAAATTGGCTATTTTGCATAATGTCAGATTATCACCTGACAGTTTTCATATCAGATATATTCATGATATTATCAGGTCAAGATATCATTCCAAGAACATAAGGCATGAGGGCTGATATTATAATATGATAATATTAAGCTATATTTCAGAAGGTGGAACACCTGGACCTTTAATACTTTCCACATATAATGCAGTCATTATCAGTAAAGCTGGCAAGACATTTTGCTGTGTGCTCTCTTGCAAAATGTCAGGACACATAGACGGTCACATTCAACAAAGAATCAATTTAGAATGAAGAGCTTCAAATTAATTTCATCAAACTATGCCACAGAAATCAAACGATCAACATTTATCAATATTAGATAAGTCTAAATCATTGGTGATGGAAAACAGCCAAACCTAGATTCCATCTACTAAATATAAACTCAGTGATACTGCTCAAAGATAATGCCATCTGTTTCAATATCCATATGAATATGAATCACATTTTTTTTTAATTCCCAAATGGATTAATTGATAAAGTTAAAAATCCCTCTTGTTGGTGATTTTTCAAAGTGAATGCTGGTGAATTTGGGTGATACACTCGGAAATATCTCTCTGTATATTCCACAAGTAATATGACCCAATGAAGCATTGAAGTACATTGTACTAGAAAGCAAAGTTTTTCATTCTGCAATTCTGACTGGATGCTTTTAAACTTACTGTAAAGGTGAGGACCACAATTTATACAGAAATCAGATTTTTGGAAGTTTAAAGCGAATTCCTTTTCTAAACATTTCAATAAATAAGTAGTAATATAACTAGTATCAAGATGAAGATAGACAAATAAATAAATATAATTTGTCCAACAAATTGTCCTGGGATTTTACAAGTATTGATATTTATTTCTTTGCAAACTTCAGACAAAATTATGACTGATGTGACTCAAAGGTAGATCAAATAAAGACGAATAATTCATCTGGTCATCCAAACAAGTAAAACTGTGAGCTACTGCTCACTGATGATACCCCCGCCCAAATATTTCTGTAAACAGGAAGTTGTTCAGTGATGAATCTGAAAACGCATCACACGGTAAAGCTGACTTATATAAACCCTGAAACCAAATTTCAGAAATCCTTGTCAAGTAGTTCCTGAGAAAAATGTGACGAAAATTTTCAACTTGGCTATCATGTGTAAAATAATACAAGTGTTTGGTAAACAGGAGGTTGTTGAGTGATGAATCTGAAAACGCATCACACTGTGTAACTTACTTATATAAACCCTGAAACCAAATTTCAGAAATCCTTGTCAAGCAGTTCCTGTGAAAAATGTGACGAAAATTTTCAACTTGGCTATCATGTGTAAAATAATACAAGCGTTCGGTAAACAGGAAGTTGTTGAGTGATCAATCTGAAAACGCATCACACGGTGTAACTTACTTATATAAACCCCGAAACCAAATTTCAGAAATCCTTGTCAAGTAGTTCCTGAGAAAAATGCGACGAAAATATTCATCGGACTGACTGACGGATGGATGGACTGGCGGAAGGACAGACAGAGGTACATGTAAAACAGTATACCCCCACTTTTTTAAAGCAGGGGTATAATAATTGTTAAAGGGGCATTAGCTACGAGATATAAACAAAATTAATATGTGATTTTTTTTTTTGTTCAATAATTAATGAAAGTGAAATAGTGAAATAATAATTCGCTTTTAGCAGCCAGTTTAGTTCAATTTGGCAAAATAAGCTAAGAAACATAGCCGATGAATTATTCACTTGCAAGTGAATAATTCGACGTCATAGAATCCGTATTCGTGTGACCTTCAATTTAACCCATTAGCAAGAGATTGGTTATGCATGTATTAGTCGTGTTCAGCCATTAAAAGGAAAAGAATGTCAACATTTCATTGAACTCAGATTCGATCCACAAAAAATCACTTATACAGGTATTTTTTAAACCTATAACATGAAATCAAACAGACCTAGAAAAGTCCAATTGCACGAGGTCGCTATCTATTTACATTTATGTTTATGTTTATCTCAGGTTATGTGACCATTGGCAGTATTCGGAGGTCATCTCGATTGTTAATTAGATGGGGTCTAAGACTAAAATACACATGAAATACTGATACATATTATCGACTCCATGCATTGCTAATTGTTTATTTCAGACTTATTGTAATTTGGATATACGTTTTAGTAGGTTATAAATCAAATATGAGAACTTGAGTCAAATCGGTGAACATGAATTTGACAGCTAAATGAAATATTTGCCATTAGACATTATATTTGGATCCTATATACAATGTATAGCTAAACTTCAACCCAATTGGATGCTAATCTGTTAACACTTGGACTTGTATTTTAACACATATCACTATATCAGCATTCTTGATATTTTGGTCAGTGGGTCTCTCACAAAATTTTATTTCTATTCCAAGACTAGCAATATAATACTCTTAATTAATTAAACAGCACAACACTTATCCTTCATACATTTCTGCTTTAGTCATTGTTTACTGTCATTTGGAAAATGTATTTGAAAACATTATTATCAGATAATTTCCGAATGTAGGACAGAAAGTCACAGGACAAAAAGTCACAGACAAAAAGTCACGGACAAAAAGTCACAGGACAAAAAGTCACAATTCAGTTTTGAGATTATTTTTCTTTAAACAAAAAAACACTAATTTTAAAAAAAAATTTTTTTTTTTTTTCTTGAACTATTATATATGAAGCAACTTTGTAATTAAAATTTAATCAATAAATATCAATAAGTATCAAATAATTGTTATGATAACAAAATGTCAAAGTGGCTTCGTACTTAAATGGCTTCATTGTGCCAAGAAATATATCCTTTGCATGATTAAAATTTAATAAATTTTCATTTTTCAAGGCTTATGAACAATGTCCTAAACTTAAAAATGAATATATGAAATAAAAAGAAAATATTTCAATATCTTTCTCTTATATATTCAAACAATTGTCAACAAATTATTTGTGACTTTTTGTCCTGTGACTTTTTGTCCTATCAAATTTGTGACTTTATGTCCTGTGACTTTTTGTCCTGTGACCTTCTGTCCGTTTACCTAATTTCCATGTAACACTTAAAAGACAAACTCAAAGTAGCCACATACTTTATAATTTTTTTCATACAAGTCAGAGATCAGAGATCAGATTTTATTTATTTCAAAAGCATGTTTCATCAAGGCAAATTGAAGAATCAGCTTTACATTTGGCCATTTTTGAATGTATTCTTTTTTCTTCAAAATCAGTTGATACTTAAAAATCAAAGGCCTTTCAGCAAAATCGGCTGGACTTATCAAGCTACATGTACACATGTAAATGCAGCTATATACATGTAGACCTATTCTTTTATAATAGATTATTCAGAATTTTTTCTGTAGTAGATGATATATATAAAAAACTATTATAAGCTTTGATTTACACATTATTGTAGCTTAAAATCAACAAATTGAGTTCTTCTACCCAATGATCCAAATATATCCCTGATTCGTTACAGAGGGATAATATCATGCCAGCCTTGAAAGAAAAAGAGTGTCCCCCCTCCCCCTTAAAGCTGAAACACTATACAAGTTATTACCTTATAAACTCAACTTCCTGGATCATATTTGCCATTTAAGTTTTAAATAAATAAATCCATTTTATGAAAAAAATTCATTTAACTGTACACAACATTTCTGGCACTTTCCATTCCCCTTTAATGAAGAAAACAGAATTTCACATGAATAGTACAAACTAATCCTTTTTCACCACATTCACAGGAGATGGCACAAATGATATTACATCACTTCAACACTTCACTATCTCTTCATGACAAGACGTATACATATCATTTTTTATTTGCTGCAGTATCTTAACTGCACCTTTGCATCAATGAAAAAATACATCTACATAACAGTATGCGCTAAATGCCCTGTTTTAAGTTTGGGGTATTAAGTGGCCGCACTTCCTAATTGCATCCAAGATCCTGTGCCATGTATCAACTTTCCACTTGAAAGTTTTCTAACATAATGATCTGTACTCAAGCTGGGATATTAGTTCAATGGTTCTGAATATCTTTAGATTCTTGAACTTTTATCAAATTGTTGATAACTCCAAATTCTTATGCTCCAAAAATTGATCAAGATTTCATTCAGATGGTTCATTTTGTCATATTCTATCATTTTCTCATACACCAAAAAATCTATTTATGAAATTACAATCAAAGAATTAAGTTTCTTCGCTTTTCACAGCAATTCCATCCAAACACTAAATTGGAATTATATTTTGTTTCCACAGTGAAAAAGTAGTTTCCGCAAAAAATCTAACAGTTAATTTACATGACGTGTCATCACTAACGAAAAATCTGATTTCAACAAAGCAAATCAAATAAAAAAATAAAAAATCCAATTTGTTCCAGTATTCCAAGTTCAAACTAACGTTAATATCTCATCCAAATGAGAAAAGTTCGAAAAGTACACAAAATGTTTATAAACATCGGGTGTGAAATTGAGTTAATTAAACACATTCCTTTCTTTTACTATCTTCACTCCATAACAAAGATATTTTACAGCTCATATAAATCTCAATGATTCACAAATATACAAAGTCCATTGTTTGGGTATCACCTCTTAAAGATCAAATATTGACTTATGAATCAGCCTAAAGAGGGTTAGAGATAACAGCTACTAATCACTTAGTAAGCTAATTAATATTCCTTTTATCAAAGATAATCGCTATGGTCATTTGATCTCATATCTATCATAAAAAATCTGACATCTGGACATACTGCTGGTAATTGTTTGATAATATACAAAGCATGTTATTATTACAATATATTGTCAATTACCCAACAATTTTATAAAGCCAGGACAATAAAGTAATATAATTGGTTTTCATACTGCTGTCTTGGCCATCAACAAATATTGTTAACTTAAGTGTTACAAGAATTAGATTTTACAATTGAAAAGAACATATTCATCTTTAATCTTTTTTATTCATCTTTATATTTTACATTTTTTACTTCCAGTAGAAATTTTTTGCGACTTTGATATTTTTATTTGCTTTATAAACTTTATGATGCATTATACATAACAAAGACCATTATATTACTGGCCTTTATAAACCTAGTTTTTTTGCCAGATGACACAGCCCATTGTTTTACATGTGCATTGTAGCATGGGAATTATAAAAGGATTACATTTTATTATCATTTCCATGTTTACACAGGAATGTCACAATCAATTCATCAAAACATACGCAAAATTTTACATTTTTATACTTTTTTTTCCCACAGATAAAAAAATTAAATAAGTTGGTTAAATAGATAGTTTTATATATAAATGCATTGCCAACATAGTAATATATTTATAAGGGAGCAAGATAATAATCACTTCATTTTCATTGAAATAGAAAGGTAGATTTTTTAATAAGTTCAATGCTTTAAATATTTACAAATATCTTTTTTTTTCCAATATGCTGTTTATTTTCCTCCCCCCTAATAGTTCAATTAATGTTCAAGTGTTAATAATTAATATACCATTGCAGAAATTCCCCTAGCTATAGAGAATACATCCCAATTATAACACAACATAAACAGGTCTCTATCAGTTTTCCTGCTTTGATAACATCTATCACAATTGATTTTGACAACTCCATGATAAAAGTACCAATGTCATGATTTCCAATGTATCCAGAACTTTCAAATGAAAAACAAATTTTGCAAGCTTCCATTAAAAGGCAACTAACAGTTGAAAAAAAAAATATTTCCTTCAAGTATCAAAATGTAATTAGATATGGGTGATGGAATAAAAGCTCTAGTTGACTTCTATGAAAGTGCATATTGTCACAAGGGACATCTCTAAATCAATAGAATATTGTTAATTTTTAGAATTTTTTATCAGATTTTACTACAACACTCAGGAATCAAATTACAGCCTTCCTTATCAAAATATTTTTTAACATTCAGTGCATTACATTTGTGTGTAAAAATGTTTCGCTTGTGTGTTGCTTTTTATTACACTTGCACACATTAATTTTTAGAAAAAAAGAATAAATGTTCATTGGGAAATTAGCATAAAAATAAATCACTTTCTAAAATTTCCAACTTGACAGTAAACAAATTGCTTTTATTGCCATTCCTCATCTTAGCATTTGCAACAACATATGTATTTGGTATGATTGACTAAAATCTTATTAAAAAGCTGTATTAGATGTGGAATAATATGGAGGTCATTATGTCCCACTGGTAAAGACTAACAATTTCTCAGACATTTTCATTTGTTTTTACATAAAGTTCTATCCCTAAGCACCACTGTTGCCATTTGTTTGTCTTCTACTGCAGTTATAACATGCAGATGCTGGGCATTACTTAGTATACATCAATGAGTGACACCATTATGACATAGCAACCCAACAACACAAAAAAAAACCATCTCAAGTTCACTTGTTCTTCTGCTCTGCTGAAACATGCCTACCTTGTAGAGATTTTGTCAAACATATTTCCAAGCATAGAGACTCAATCACACAGCAAAAAGCTAATCTGACTTAGGAAAGTATATAAACAGACCCTTATAGATACATATACAACCAAGATTTTTAAATGCTAATTAATTTGATATAAAGCAATAATTCTATACATGGTATATTTGCAAGACACAAAGTTGTCCCTTTATCTTATATTTATGGTTATATTCAGGACACATATACTCATATATACATGATAAAGGTCTAACTATCTTAAATTTCGAACTAAATTTAGTGAAATCTACTTAAAATATGAAGATAGTCGTATCTATTTACATTTCAATCCTCAGATTTCGGCTTTTAAATAAATTGTTTCAATTTGATGATATGTAAATATTTTTGTGAAACACTATCTCCTAGACCTTCCAATTATGTTGACTACTTATATCTGATACAATGTCTGCTCCTTAAAAATATCAGATATACTGACAATGCAATTCATTTTTTGTATGCCCTAATTTAGGGACAAGTGCATGCCCCATACAATAATTATCAATGGCTAACCTTCTAGTGGGCATGCTATACAGTGTGATAATATCCACTCATTTTTGCCAAACATTCTGTTAAAAATGAACTAACCTCTAATCAAGGTCTCCAACAAATAAATATAAATATTAACAATGAATAAATTGTTTGACACATTAATATGTTTTGCCTATAGTGGTTGCCCTTAAACTGACCTAATCACAAGCTTTAACAAATTGTTGATGCACACTGCCAATCCACGGAAACAGCACGCTCAAATCTATGCTACATGTCATGGTGAGACAAACAAAGGAGATGCAGGGTAAATATAATGAGGCAGCAACACAGCAACACAAAAATCCAAAAGTTTTGATCCAATTATGAAAGAAAATTGAAATCCATGACTCCAAAATGAAGGAGGTTATCAATGCATAACAAGGCAAGGTGGTAGGCAGGCAATCAGCTCAACTTCAAGTCTCATTTTATAAAAAAAAATTAAATGACAGAAATGTTGGTGTTTATTAATAAACTGTATATAAGCATTATATATGAATTGAAAGGGGCTTTAACTCCTTGAATATCAAAAAAGTAAAATAACAAAAATACCTAACTCCAAGGAAAATTCAAAACGAAAAGTTCAGAAGTGACAGTTGTTAATTAAAGTAACACCTATAATAGCAAATTTGGTTTACATATCTAAATGCAGTTTGGTGATACAAACATTACACATTTACTATATAAACACATATGCCAAGTAACTTAGAGGTCCTTGTTCATTCTTACTTTGTATAGATAGCTCTATTGCTTTCCCACATTTAAGGGATGGCAATTTTTGGTAGAATCAATACTAGAGTACTCAGTTCAACTACTTTGATAATATCAGTAATTAAAGTTTTTAAGTGTTAAGTTTCTTTGTTATTGTGTTGTCTCTTTAATACCCTCAAATAATGTGAGTAATTAACTGTACACAATACAAAAGACAATTTGTTTAAAAGGATAGTAGCTACGATTTTCATTAAAATTATTTTTCTAATCTATATGCCGGATTTTGTACAAAATGTTTATTTAGAATTTACTTTCTAATTAGCATTTAGAAGCTTTTTAAAGTTTTACACCTGAATTTAATTTTTGTCTATAGACAAAAATTCGATGTTAAGCCAACCCTTATTCATATGACCTATGTTGACCTTAACTCCGCAGTTCCCAATGCACAATCGCAAGTTGTCCCTCGAATGGAAAATGTCGAACAGAGGAATGTTATCGCAGAAATGGAACGTGTGTTAACAGTTTCTGCGAGAAAAAGAAACAATAAAGAGGTGCAGACAAGTTATTGTAAATTCAAAATAAATAACGGCGATGAGATCGGTCATTAGAATCATTTACAAACATGTACACCCGTCACACAGATGAAGTCATTATATAAGCAGTCGACATTACGACGGTTTGCGATATGTAAAAAACATTTCTGAACTTTTCGAATCCAGATCACATGAAAATAAATCGTGACGTGTTCAAATCATTATTGTCCAAAATATCTTTATAAATTTAAGAGCAGTGATCTCACAACTTAGAAGACATTAAAAATCAACTTCTTACAATTTAATATTATTCTTCCTGTGTACCCTGCATGAAGGCCCCAATTCAATTCACAAACACGTGTATACGTTATCGGCATTGTTTTGTCATACAAATATAAAACAAGTGTATAATATCGCCATTGTTGGAGAACCTTGGGTTCGAATAATACGCAGGCATTTGGTATATTTTGTTGTTTACATAATTTGATAAATGGTTTCAAATACTGTCGTTTAATCTAAAGAAATTGTCAAATACGTAAGAAAACAAAAGCACATGTTCATATTTATTTATATCTTGGTCATCTCACTCACTGTGTCGGCAAAGTTGGGGAAGTAAACCCGATGCATAATTAATGAGATGAAAAGGCACGCTTCACGATATTAATTATCAATTATTAACACTTCTGTACTTTATATAAACATTCCACCGATCTTATTGTTAATTTAAAGTACATATCTTTGATTTTAGCAGCTTTAAAACTTGGTCATAATTTTGTCAAAATCGTAGCTACTATCCCTTTAATACATGAACAATCAAAGGTGTTACAAAAGTTAACAACCAGTAAACTGTCAATTGCTGTATAAACATTGTCAGAGTGAACTGTCAATTGCTGTATAATCATTGTCAGAGTGAACTGTCAATTGCTGTTTAAACATTGTCAGAGTGAACTGTCAATTGCTGTATAATCATTGTCA